AGAGACAGAGACAGAGACAGAGACTGAGACAGACAGACAGAGACAGTGAGACACAGAGAGAGAAACTCATTACGTAGTCCAGACAAGCCTCAAAACTCCTGCCTCCACCTCCTGAGTGCTGGGATTCCAGGCTCAGGCCACGGTACCACCATGACCATCTATTATTGTATACATTATGAATATCATCTTCTCTCGAATGAAAGCTCCGAGAAAGGGACTGTGCAGATTTTCCACTCCTAGTCAATGCTTTCCCAGCACCTGATTCAGCCCCCATGGCCCTCACAGGTACCCCACACATACCGGCGGATAACACAATCTGAGAGAAGGCCCAGAGGAAGGTGGTGGGGAAAACAGTGAGCAGAATGATGTCAGGAGATGCCTAGGAAGTGGATCTGTGGGAGTCTAATGGCTGCCTGGCCTGGGGAGAGAAGGCCCAAGAGGAAATCTCCAAGGTGGCTCCAGGACACTGAGCAAGAGGGCTGTGGGCAAATTAAAGGATGCAGAGACCAAGAATGGTAGGTCTGCAGAGGTCACCAGCTTAGTTTTGGACTCACAGAGTCTGAGGGCAGCACTCAGGACAGGAGGGCCCCAAGACACAGAGCAGGGGTCACAGGTCCATGAGTCCTGAAGCCATGGGCAAGAAGGGCAAAGAGTAGTGGGCACAGGCTAAAAACTGGCATATAACCTGGTAAAAGGAGACGAGCCCACAGGGACAATGGAAAGGGGAACAATCAGAGACAGTACAAAGCAGGGCCTGGCTGGGAAGCGCAGGGCAACACCAGCAATGGCAGTATGTCGAGCAGTTAGCTCAGTTCTGGCCACGCATGCTCTGAGGCTCACCAATGTGAGTTTGGTGGGATGCTGGAAGGGAAGCAGGATGTCAAGGAACGAGCATGTGAGGAAGCAGAGGTCAATTCCAGACCACTCTGATCAATGGTGGCTGGGAAGGATTAATGGAGGGTATGTCCCTTCTAACATGAAAGAAAAATCCAAGATACTGAAATGGGAATGATTAGTCAAAACTAGCTGACAACAGAACAGGGTCCCAAGAGAAAGAAGATGGACTGGCACAGACAGAGAAATCAGCCGCAGAGTATATCAGCTCCCAGCCTCTCCCTAGCCTTCCTCCCTCTCTCACACAGGATCTTGCTATAGCTCAGCCTGGCTTCCAACTCTCTATTCTCCTGCTTCAGCCTCCCCAGTGGTGGGATTACACATGTAATCTCTGCCAATATTCTATCCTTTCCTGCAACCAGAATAAAAGGCAAAGTGACAGGCATGGCTACAGAAGCGTGTGTGAGGGAAAATGGAAGAAGCGGACAGGGTGACATGGCAGAGCAGGAGACAAGATGGAAAGAAATAAGGAAAGACATGTAGGAAGCAGACATGTGCTTCCCCAGGCTACTTGGGTAGCACTACAGACTTTGTGGGCCTTGCTGGGGCACCCTAGTGTGGCTGTAGGAAGAACATGATGTATCTACAAGGTCACTGGAAGGGCATTACGAAACTGCAGGGAAAGACACTTCCTTTCTGCTCCCACAGTGAGTCTGAACACAGGTGCCAGTTCAAAGGGAGAGAAGGTCATGGGCAGAGGTCATAACTTGTCCCAAAGTAATCATTCTGGAGTTGGACCAAGAACTAGTGAACAGGACAGAGCTCAGTCTGCCAGGAACATGGACTACAGGTAAACACAATTAGACCATCAGACACGGATAAAAAGAGGGAAGACCAGGAGAAAGGAGAACTTGAGTAACGGACAAAGGTATTTTAACCTCCAGAACAGACTCTTAGCAGAGTGCTGCCCACAGGGCTCTTCATGATGTGGCCCCCACTTATTTCCCAAGCACCTTTCTAACCCACAACTCTGCTTCCCCTTTCAGACCATTCAGTGTTACCTGTAGCCCTTGGCTCATGTCACCTGCAGTACCCTTCTCTTCACAGGCTAGTCCAACCACCACACCGTCATTGACAAAGTTATGCTCTAGCACTGTGCAATCAAATTACAAAACAGATAAATCACAAACCCTCAACATTTTAATTAAGTTTACAATGCTGTATAGGGCTGCATTCATGGCTATCTTCAGTTTCGTGAGACCCCCCCCCGGGTTACAGGGTAAATATTCAAGGACCAGGATAAAGTGCCAGCTTGCCTGATGCCTCAGCCTGACTTGCCTGCACACCAAATCCTCCTCTCAAACCTCTGCAGAGCTTCCTGCCAGGTTTGTGAAAGTTAGCTCCTTGAGGACCAGGATATGTATTTAACTTGTTTGTGCATTTCTAGCTTGCAGAGCCATGTCAGCATCAAGCAGATGCTAAAAAATATTATGTTTATTCTCCAAAATGAGAAGCTGGCTGAGAACAGAAACAGATCCTCATCTTGTGGTTGAGCCCCAATAGTCAGCTCTTTAAAGGGTTTCAAAACAATGTCACATGAGGGCACACAGGAGTTGGCCAAGAAAAACGGAAGAGCTGTTTCAGGCAAAAAAGAACAGAGCTCTAGGTGAGACACAGCTGCCAGCAGTGTAACAAGACTGAGAGCAAAGCCGGGAGGTGAGAGACAGTTTAGCCAGATAAGCCTTTACGAGACACTTCATCACTTAGGTGAGGCTCAAACACCACCTCCTCAGAGAATTCATGGCTGTTCCTCTAGTCAAAGCTGGCCTTGACCTTACTATATACTAAAGACGACCTTGAGTTCTTAAAAATTTTTCCATTTTCAAGTGCATGTGTAGTATGCACATGTGTATATATGTGCATGTGTGTACACATATGCATAGACACATGTACGTACATGTCCATGCATGTGGAGGCTTGAGGCTGACATCAGAAATCATCCTCCTTCACTCTTCTACCTTATTTCATTGAGGCAAGGTCTCTCAAACAAACCCAGAGCTCACCAATATGGCTAGTCTAGCAAGCCAGCGTGCTCTGGAGATCCTATCTTTGTCTTCCAAGGCCAGTACTACAGGCAGGCCAAGCCCACCTGACATTTATTGGGTTCTGGGAATCTCTGATCCTCAGACTTGCTTGGCAAGTGTTTTTCAATGAGCCATCTCCCCAGTCCCAACCTCGAATTCTTGATCTTCCTTTTCCTCAGCCTCTCAAGTGCAGGGATTAAGGCATGCACCACCACACCTCACATCAAATGTACAGTTTACTGACAATTACCACCATCACCACCACCACAAAGTGGTATAACAGAATTCTATTTTATCATTAGGGCCTACAATTGAAGTCTGGCACACAACAGGCATTCAAATTTTTCTTTTAGTCAATCAATACATATTTATTAACCACACGCCACACAGTGTTCTTTTTGTTAGGCTTTAACAATAAATAAGACAAAAATCTTCTGTCAATGTAGCTTCCTATGGGTAAATACTTAGCCTAAAGAAGAGAAAGACAATCTAGCAATTTTCAAAGATGTGTGGGGCAATTAAGCGGAAGGGTGACCCCAGGAGTATTACAGGCATTGAGCTGAGATTGGGGGCCCACAGCTTTCAGCTCAGCACGACTCTTGAGTCAGAACTGAGAACTAGGAGCAACCAGAAGTAGTTTTCTTGCACTGAACAGCTGTGGCCAGTGGGCTAGGGTGTCCTGGGAAAAAGCAATGCAAGCAGTCAATGTGAAAGGAAACCAGAGACAGAGGTCTCATGTCTGTTTAACAGTCATATAAAACTTTTTTCTTTAATTTGGGGTTTTATCTGACAGTGCCCCTAGTCCCAGTCTGCCTGTAAGTCACTATGTGGATCAGGCTGGCCTCAATCTGGGAGAGTTCTGCCGGCCTCAGCCTCCCCAAGGCTGGGATGAAAGGCAGGCTGGGATTGAAGGCATGCCACCACACCTGGCTGTACAGGGCTTTTTAAAAGACAAAAGTCAAGACAACAACAAAAGGATTGAATTAGTTGTCCACTGTTTTTTTGTTTTGTTTTGTTTTGTTTCTGAGGGGGTAAGGTAGGGGTAGTGAATTAGTGATCAAGTTTAAAAATAAATAGACTGGGCAGGGAAAGTAGCTCAGTTGGTATAGTGTTGCATAGCATACATGGAGCCCTGGGTTCAATTCCCAAGCACCAGATAAACCGGACATAGTGGTACATGCCTGTAATCCCAGCACTTAGGAGGTAAAAGCAGGACAAGAAGTTCAAAGCCATCCTCTGTGCATACCAAGTTCAAGGCCAGCACGGGCTACATGACGTCCTGTCTTTAAACACAAAGAAGATTACACATGCTGAATATAGTCTTGTAACAAATTTAACTTGGGATGTGCTGGTAACTGAACTCAAAGCCTTGTGCATGCTAAGCAAAGTCTGTCACTGGGCTCTATCCTCAGCCCCTTTTTCGGCTTGAGCCAAAGTCTAAGATTGCCCAGGCTGGCCTTGAAGTCACAATTCTCTTGCCTCGGGCTGGGATCACAAGCACGCATCAACACACCCAACTAATTTTCTCCCACCTACATTTGCCCTACTCCACTGATTCCTATCTATACAGCATATACAGCATTCGTTGGTAACCTCTGGACTAAACCTTAGCTTAGAAAACCTCCACGAGGCAGACACGGTCACTCCCATTTTCACAGACCAAGGGAGAGCGGTTTCAGCAAGCGAGGCTCATCCAGGTACACGTCTACCCAAGGCCGGGCCAGGACAACCCGAGTTTCAGCTCCCGCGTCTCACAACCGGCTCGCAGCTCTCCCTGCTTGAGTACGGACCGGGGCACTGAGTCTGGAAACTCGGCGAACCGAAGTTTCCACTCACATCCCCCCGGTTCTGAGGTCCCGCCGCATCGCCCAGGCCGACCCTGCCAGCCCCGCACCTCCCCAGCAGCAGCAGCCCACTTACCGCCTCTCAACTTCCGGCAACCGCAGCGCCAGCCTCGCGGCGCGCCCCAATGACGTTAGGCCTCGACCCCGCCGCGCGGGATCGACGCGCAAGCGCGCAAGTGCCAGGCTGCTTAAAAATGGGTCCCTAGCACCGTGGTTTGGGGGGCGGAACTGCGGTTCGGGGAAGCGAAGGAGGCGCGCTGCGGACGTTGCACACATAGTGTTCCGCGCTGGAAGCGGCTCCGCGTTCCCGCTGGGAATCTCCGAGGGCAGCTGCAAGGCCATCACTGTCATCTTCCCGGGAAGGCCGCAGCGGGCAGAGCGGAGACCGCCGACCAGGCAGGTGCAGAAACGGGAGCACTCAACAGACCACGGACTTGAAAATAGCCACCATCCTCAGTGCTCCGCTGTCAGAGACAACGTTACTACAAAAATACTTGTTGCGTGCCTACTATGGGTGAAGCACTGGACAAATGCTTCAGACAGGACAGTGCATTTGGTGAATTTCTTTGAGGCTTTGCACAAAGTGACTTCTTTGGGGGCAGGGGGACACTTGAGCTTATCTCGCTCTGTAGTCCAGGCTGACCTCAAACCCAGGGCGATCCTGCTGCCTCTACCTCTCTATTGCTGGGATTACAGGCGTGTGCAGCCATGCCTGACTCACAGTGACTCTGATGTAGCTCTATAGACTCATTATAATGAGAACCACGAGTATTTATTATCCTGCTTTCCATGTCTCAGATCTCATCCTATCAAGGGTGCTGAGAAGTTGGTGGTTTGTTGTTCTTGTGGTGGCAGTGGTGGGGTGTCCTTGGAGCTGGAGTTACAGGTGGTTGTGACAGTTCTTGTAGGTACTAAGAACTGAACTCAGGCCCTCTGGCAAAGCACTCATGACTGCTGAGCTGTCTCTCCAGTCCCTGAGAAGTCAGGGTTTTATTATTCCTGTTTTACATAGGAAAGAACACTGGCTAAGAAATTTTGAGTGGCTTGCAGAAAGTTAAACTACTTTGGGGCCAGATTTAGGAAGGCTACTTAATTGGTATCATTGCAAGGGATAGGAGAGAGGAGGGATGCAGCTTTGCAATAGGGGAGGGAAACTACTGTAATTTGGAGATACCTCTGATCAGAAGGCCTGCAACTGTCTCAAGACGTAGATTGGAACTCTCTCCCTCCCTCCTTTCTTCCTTCCCTCCCTCCCTTTCTCTTTCTCTCTCTCTCCCTCTCTCATAGGCTTAGCCTCCCCAGGAACCAGCATTACAGGTGTGTAAGAGTTTTCCTTTCATACTAAGAAACATACAAGACTAGAAAGAATCCTAAGTTAGGTAAAGTTTTGAGAGGGTGGCTGCATCCAGATGCTAGATCCGGAGACTGTTTCCCTGTCAACCAGCCTGCCCTGGGGAGGGCTTGTTGGTTAGCTCAAGCAGAGGTGAGGACCATGGAACAGGAGAGAGGCTTAGCTAATATTTGGCTAATGGATATTTTCCCCATTAACCACTGGAGACAAGTGGTTCAGCTAATGGACTGGGCTCGGGCATCCATGAATCAATCTTATTTATTTCAGTGATAATGGGTGTTTCTTCAAATACTTTCTGGATGTGAAAGGGTGGAAAAATTTCCTCAATGCTTTCCCTCAAAGGGCTCAGGTGACATTTAGCACTGCCAGTTCTTCAGAGTCCACCAAGCTCCTCTCCTGCCATGGGGCCCCTCATACTGCATGCTTGGGTCATGCTAAACTAGTTCCACCTTTCTGAGTGCAAGCTTCTCATTTCTCTCTCCATCCCTGTGATGTCATCACACTGCCTGCACTGTGTAAACCCATCCATGTCTTCACAGTTCAGCTGATGTGCAAATGTTTAGGCAAAATCTTGATGGAGTGAGTACCGCTTGCTTGAAGCTTTGTAGTGACAGAAGTTAGATCAACAGGTACCTGAAGCAAAAGGGTGGGGGTGCATTTTCTTCAAAGAGGCATAAGGGGCTTTCTTGGGATACAGGTAATCTACATGACTGAGGTAGGGATGACATGCTATATACATTTATCAAAGCATTGCCCTTGCCAGGTATGGCTGTACACCTCTGCAATCTCAGCACTTAGGCAACGGAAGCAGAAGGATCAGGAGTTCAAAGTTATCCTTGACAACATAAGGAGTCTGAGGCCAGCCTGAGCTACATAAGACCCTGCCTCAAAAAAAATTAAAAACTGTCTCTACATATTACTGTACACACTGAATGTGGTCATCTTTTGGGGGGGATGAGGTGGTTGAGACAGAGTCTATGTGACCCCAGCTGGCCTGGAACTCACTATGTAGACCATACAAGGCTGGCTCCAATCTCATTGAGATCCACTGGCTTCTGCCTCCTGGGTGCTGGGATTAAAGCTGTGTGCCACCCTACCCAGCCTGATAGCAGTAATCTTGATTTTGAAAAATCAATAGGGGGGTAGAGCGATAGTTCAGTGGGTAAGGGAGCTTGCTTTGTAATCATGGGGACCCGAGTTCAGATTTCAGCACTCATGTAAAAAGTTGGGTATGGTTGGGTGCTCTGTAACCCCAGCACTGTGAGACAGGAGGATCACGGGGCTTACTGGTCACCAGCATAGCTTAAGAGACCCTGTCTAGAAGGAGTAAAGCTAGGAGTAATAGAGCAGGACATCCAATGTCCTTTTCTGGTCCCTGCTACACATGCAACACACACACAGTTCAAGGTTTAGTCAGAGCTACACAGTGAGACCCTATTTCAGTCCTCCAAAATAACCCCCATCCCTCCCCAAATACATGCCGAATGCCCACCTCTAAGTATTTACTACATTGAGCATATATGAACTTAAGATGAACTTTGGGGTTTTTTGAAACAGGGTCTTGCTATGTAATGCTGACCTGAAACTCACTGTATAGGCCAGGCTGACTTTGAACTTGCATTGATCTTCTTGCCTCAGGCTCTGGAGGGCTGAGGTACCACACCTGGCTGAAGTTAGTGCTTTATTAGTGTTTCTAGATCCAGTGTGGCAACATGAAACTGCTCACCCACAATCTCCTAGCTTATGTGTCGGGCATGGGGATGCATGGCTTCCCATGGCATCTCCAAGCCACTGAGATGAATTCTCTAGAGTTCATCACCATCTTCATGACTCAGATAATTCCTCAAAGTGGAACTGGGTGGAGCTTGTGGAGGGAGTAGACACCTTAAACCTGGCTGAGGTACCCACAGAGCCAGTTGAGGACTGTGAGCACAATGAGATAATTCGGAGGAAGATGCTCCAGGTACTGCAGGAGGTGAATGTGCTGGAGGGGACTCTGCAATGCTCAGAGTCTGGTCATCTTTTCCTCAGCAGCCTTGAGATTTCCCAACATGCTGCTGAGTGATGAGACTGAGCTGTCACTGTTGTAGCCACCAGGTTTGTATTCTGTGATCATGTGCATCTCTTAGTGTATAACCTGTTAGTTTTGCCTTGTCTAACCCCAACCTCAACCCAATGACACACCTACCGCATAGTTCTTGAGTTGCACAGTGTGTGTGTGTGTGTGTGTACATAATATATGGGAATGACACACCTACCGCATAGTTCTTGAGTTGCACAGTGTGTGTGTGTGTGTACATAATATATGGTTTTTTTTCCTCATTTAAGATTTAAAAAAAAATGAGCTGGGCGTGGTGGCGCACACCATTAATCCCAGCACTTGGGAGGCAGAGGCAGGTAGATCTCTGAGTTTAAGGCCAGCCTGGTCTACATAGTGAGTTTCAGGACAGCTGGGGCTACAGAGAGACCCTGTCTCAAAAAAAATGAATAAAATGACTGCATTTCCCTTCTGGACTGGACACTGTTAAAATGAACACATTTTGAAGTTCAACACAGGCTTCAGGGATCCCTCCTTCTCTGAAACTGTGCCTGTAGCACCCCAGCTGCCACCTCTCCAAAGCTGACTGCCTCAGTAGTCACAGGACATTCTTTGCCCTGACTTAGGCCTTTTCAACTGATGCTTCTATAGGGTGACACTAGCAAAAATTCCTAGAAATCAAGGCATGATTTATGAGGGAATTTCCTTAAGTTCTACTGAAATTCCTATGGCTGACTTTGCTTAGCCCTACCCCATGGACATGGACGTCTCACTGAATTCCATCACCCTAGATGATGGTTTGAGTTTTGTTCCCTACAGAACTCATGTTGCAGTTTAACTGCCAGAGACTCCTGGTATGGCCCAGCAGTAGAGCATGTGCTTAGCTTGCATGGCCCTGGATTCCAGCCCCCGTGCACATGTGCAGTACATACATACAGACACAGGTTTCTGTGATACCATAGCAGACTAGTTTCAAGTCCTCACAGGAGCATCTTAAGGAATTTTCTATTTCTCAAGTCAAGGATGGCTTATTCTTTGAGTATATTTGACTTATGAATACACTAATGGGTATGTTCCTGAGTGTAGTTTTCTTGAGTGTATTAATATTATCCTTTCTGTCCCCATGGTCTCTACATGTCCTCTTATGCTCCCTTTCTCTTCCTGTTCTTCAGGTTCTTTTTGTCCCTCCCCTAATGGTTGGGACTCTTAGCTGTCCCCATGCTATCCTTTGGTATCATCTGCACAGTCCTCTCCCTCTCCCTTTTTCTGTTCCATAGCGTCCCCACTGTTTTCCTTTCACCCCTCCTCTATCACTTCCTCTCACTGAGTCTTTTATATGGTTCAGGTGGTCTCAGACTCAAAGTTAGGATCCTCTTGCCTCTGCCTCCAGAGATCTAGGATTTCAGGCTCTGACCCCCATGTGCAGCCCCAGCTCCCTTTTATTCTTGCCTTCCTCTACCCCTCACCCAGCCCCAGTGTCTTCACCTCCATCTCTCCTCTCTCTGTCCCTTCTGACTCTCCTGAAGCAGCAGTAAGCTGGGGGAAAAGCTAGAAATAATCATTTACAGATAACTTCACAATTGTAGGACTCCATTCTTAAAAACCTTTTTCTAGTCAGGTGTGGTGACCTATGACTTTCATCCCAGAACTCAGAAGGCAGAGGAAGGCCTATCTCTGTGAGTTTATGTGGCCTACATAGGGAGTTTCAGACCAGCCAGGGCTACATAGTGAGACCCAGTCTCAAAGAGATTTTAAAAAAAGAATAAAGAATAGGGGAAGAGATCAAACAGATATACCACACAGACACACACACCATGATGTGATATAGCTGAGGGGAGTCCTCAACAGAGCCCACACCATGCTGTTTGGATCGTGTGCCTCCAGAACTGTAAGCCAATATAAACCTATTTTCTTTAAAAAGTAGCTTGCTTTGTATATTTTGCTATAGTGGCAAAACAACCTAATTCATAGCCCTTGCACACAGCTATGAAGAAGGCAGTGTTTGGTAAATTGATAAGTTTAGCAAGTTGGTCCTTCAAAGAATTGGCTTGAAGTTGATCATCCCATGAAATGAATCCTGAAGGAGCTTAAGAATCTACAAGGCTCTTAGCTGCAAGTGAGGCCTCTCCAAGGAGGTTTTTAAAAATGTAGGGCAACAGCCTAGCTTCCTCTGGATTCTGTGCAAGCCACCTGCCACTGATTTTTTCCAAATGGACTGAGGCTGAGTCATCTCTGCCTGGTACAGACAGGAGGAGGAACAGTGGGTCGATAAAACAGAAGGGAAGTGCATTCCAGAACCCACACCTTTCAATCTGTTCTCCTTAACCTCCCAGTGCTTCTATTTGCCAGTTTATGAAATATGAAAGCAAAGAAATCCTCCCATGTTGCATAAATTCTGTCAGACAATGATGAAAAGCCACGAAGCCTGGCTGTTGGTATGTTCTCATGGTGTTTTTGTGTATATACATGTGTGTTTGTACATATACCTGTAAGCCCGTAGGATTGAGGCCAGAGGTCAATGTCAGGTATCTTCCTCTATCCTTCTCAACCTTATTTTTTGAGGCAAGGTTTCTTGCTGAATCTGAAGCTCACTTATTCAGCTAGATTAGCTGGCCACCAAGTGCCAGGGATTCTCCTGTCTCAGCCTCCCCAGTGCTGGAATGACAGCGCTGGGATGACAGGCCCTTGTTGCCACACCTGGCCTTTTCTAGTTTTAAAGTTCATACGAAAGACCCCTGTGTAGCAGAAACATTGGAGACCCTGCACATCATCACTCTCACACCTCATTCCTTAGATTCTGACAACTTAGATTTACTGATCCCTTCTTGTCCTTGTTAGACCCAAATCCAGAACTGTTTGACCCAAAGTTGAAGCTCAGAACCATGTCTCTGCACTGGCTGTCCGCACTGTTCACCCCTGTGTACAATGGCACTCAGCCACTTGTCTGTGTGGAGTGGTCTTGTTAAGTGGTCTTTGGTCCTGAGGCACTGTGGGGAGGAGCTCAATCCTAGGTTTCTCCAGGCTTCTGGAAAATGGTTTCTAAGCTGGAAACAGACCAGATGCAGCTTCTGAAACCAGGAGTAAAGTCCCTAAGCTCCCTGATTACAATGTTCCAGGATGCAAGGCGGAGTGTTCTTTTTGACATGTACAAATGTGACCAGAAACCCTCTGTTGGAATTCTATTTCAACACATTTCCTCAGCCCATGAGACTCAGAAAGGTAGAAATAAAGCAACCATATAAAGGTATCCTTTCAAATTTCATATTTTAAGTAGGCAAAAATATCTTATTTGGACAGATCATGCAAATAGGAACACAAGACACAAAAGACCAGCTTTTACAGGAATTCCCATTTGCAACACATAAGGTTTAACATTACATTTTAAAGTATAAATCACAACCACATTGCAGCACAAATAAAACTGGATGCTCCTGGGCCTGTACTCAGAGCACTTAGCATGTGTGACTAGAAAGCACATGATCTCTCAGATAGGAACCTACACTGTCCCTCAAAGGATCTCCTTCTGGGCCACACATGTGCTCCATGTCAGCTGTTCTAGTACTCTGGAGATGGTCACCTCTCTTGGGAATATTGTACTTGACAGGATGCAACTTTTACCTTTTGGAGAAAATGGGTGACAGTGAGCTGCACCACACAGAGTTTCATCTCAATTTTCCCACCTAAGTATCTATGTGACCTTGAGCACCTCTCGCTGCATCTCAGTTTGTCCCTCTGCAGACCGGAACCACCAATGCTGCCTTCCTGTTGTGTCAGGGGACTTCAGTGAGACCCCCTGGGGTAGCCTTAGAAACAGGGCTTTCTTGCTCGTATTCAAGACATTTCCTTCTTCTTATGTTTGAGGGCAGCTTTTGTTATGTTTTTTAAGAGCCAAGAGGAAATAGGGGTTGGAAGTGATAGACTAGCAAGCTGCCTAATTTACTATCAACTCTAAGCCACAGGTGAGGGAAAAATAATAAGGCAGTTTCCAGGGTGGCTCTGGAGAAAGCTGTAAGAGGCTCAACAGGGCAGTGTTCTGAGAAGTGGCGGTCACAATGGAATAGCTCCCATGCCTGTCCAGGTGACCCCTGGAAGGGGTGGCATCTGCATGGGTGTCTTCAGTCACACAACTCTGTTGCAGGAAGTCTCTGAGAGTCCAGTCTAATCCTCCAGTAAAGCTCTAGCCACACCTCTCTTCAGTTACCAATCACGTCCAGTCAGGAAGTTTGAATTCCAGGGAGTGTCTGGGACTTTCATATTCCCTGGGGGAGGGGAGGTGCGGGGGGAGGGGGAGCGCTACCCAGGTCTCCTCTTGGAAATACCTGCTCTCTACCCTGAGTTCAATCTTTCTACCAACCACTGCCACCTGCTGTTCTTCTGATAGCTCTAAGAACTCTTCTGTACTGCCCAGCTCCTAAGACCTTAGATTCCATTCCTGAAAGCCCTGGACCCTAGGGATGCCCAGGCTTTCTTCCTCTGACTCCTTTTTGGACATCAGACACTGTCCATATGCTGTGTCATCCCTTCATTGTGCCCTTAGGAGCGAATGTGCAAAATTTTCTTGAATGTCTTTTTGAAGTTCTCGTTGCACAGGGGGTAGATGAGGGGGTTTAGTGTGGAGTTGATGTAACCGAGCCAGATGGTGAACATGTGCACAGGCTCGCTGCAGCAGCTCTTGCAGAAGGCAATGACCATGAAGAAGATGAAGTAGGGGATCCAGCAGAGAATGAAGGCTGCCATGATGAAACCCAACTGTTTGGCCGCCTTCCGCTCCCGGTTCAGGTGCAGCCCAGACACATACTGTCTGGAATGCGATCGGAGCCTCTTCCAGGTGATCTTGATGTAATCTAGACCACTATTGGACCCACTTCTCAGTTTGCCTCTGCCCAGCCCTGGCTCTGTACTGGTGTCGGAGTCTGTGGTCCGGGAGAAGGACTGTCGATCTACCAGTATCTGATCCTCTGATGTCTCATTGATCCGACATGTGTTTAGTCTCCGCTCATCTGTCTTGACCTGGCTCAGGACCTGGTCATTAGCCTCTGAGCCTCTGCTACCTCCTTCAGTCACAGTCTGTGTCTGCCTGATGTCAAGCTGGAAGCAGTGGAATGTGGCTGTGTCCCCACTCTCCTCTTGACTAAAGATAGTTGGAGAGTGTATCTCCTTGGGGTCTTCAGAGGGTGACTTCAGATCAGATCCACCTCCGGTGTCTCTGGATGGCCTTTTCAGACCTCCCCAAGGAGACTCCTTCCCAGATTTCTTGACATCCTTTACATTCTCTGACCTCAGCTTGATTTCCAAGAAAGAAGGGAGGGACCCATTAGTGAGCTGGCGGTGCTGACAGTGTCTCCGTACAGCCTTGTAGATCTTAATGTAGAACCAAAGCATGAGCAAGGTGGGCAGATAGAAGTTGATGATGGCAGTCATGATCTTGAACCAAGTGACGTTGTAGAAGTCTGTCTCACACTTGTCTTTTGGGGGCTCCGGGGCCTTGGATATGAAGTGATGCCAGCCTAGAATGGGAATAACCCACAAGAAGGAGAGAAACCAGGCTCCCAGGATGGTGGCTGATGCTCGGGTCTTGGTGCGATATCTCAGGTACCGGAGAGGCTGCTGAACAGAGCGGTAGCGATCAATGCACAAGATGAAGACACTGAAAATGGATGCTGTGCTGGCCACATAGTCCATGGAGAGCCAGAAGAGGCAGAGAGGGCGGCCCAGGGACCACTTGGCCATGAGAAGATAGAGGATGTTCATGGGCATGACAACGGCGCCCACAATCAGGTCTGCCACAGAGAGGCTAACGATGTATAGGTTCCCCACAGTGTGTAGCTTCCTCTCGCTGCGGACGGCGTACAGCACCAGCAGGTTGAGGCCCACCGTCACCAGGGAGATGGTACTCAGGACCACCACCAGGGGCAGCAGCTGGGTGTTGGCCATAGTGGTCCTGTTCCCCTCACACATCTTGTCTTCTAAGACAGAAGAAGAGTTGGGAAGGCTCATCAGCACAAGGGCAGGCTCCAGCAACAGCTCCCTCCCTGAGAGAAAAGACACAGGATCAAGGTCAAAGACTCAGTGATGAGAGGTCACCTAGGAGCATCATGTCTGTCAGACTGGTACCCATGCACTCGCTCATGACTTTCTTCAGTCTTCACCCATTCAGTCAGTCAGTGACTACTTAATGAATTTCTGGCATTATTCTGGATGTTGGAGATATAACAGTGTTATGAGACAGACAAAAACTCAGATCTTATGGAATCTATATTCTAGTAAGAGAGTTCAACCAGAACAAGGCAACTCAGTACTTTGTGTAAACCTCATTTTGGATATGTCCTGACTGATCTGAGCTGCACGTGGTCTCAGAGAGGCCACAAGACACAACTGTGGGCAGAAAGAAGCAGGGTTCAAGAAGCATTCTTCCTCTGTGACAAAGTTGCAAACCAAGGAAAATTATCCTTTCCCACTCACCTTCCTCTTCCTGAGAGAAAGGATGTTCACGTATGGCAGCACTATGGGGGCCTGTCTGGAAAATGCCAAGAAAATCTTGGAGATTCTGGCTCTGAGTCCTGTCACTGTGGTCTTCTTCCTGCATGCTTGTTAGCATGGGGAGTAATTTACCATTTCCTTTGCTTTAAGACTCCGTCCAGGGAATATTGACTTGGAGATGCAGGCATCCCTGACTGACAGAGATCAAAAGGGGACATATCCGAGGTGCAGAAACCATGGGATCAATCTAGCATATCCCTGAGAAGCAAGGTCCTCGGGCTGGGGCTGGGGCTCAGTGGCAGAGTGTATGGTTAGTGTCTGTGCAGCCCTGGCTTCCAGCCCAGCACCACAAACAGAATGTTTGTTTGTCTGTTTTTGTCAGTCTGTGTTTTGAAGACAAGGTCTCAGTTGGCAGCCCAGACTGGCACAGAATTCGCCATGTAGACCAAGCCGGCCTTTAACTTGCAGCAGTCTGCACTGGAATAATGGGTATGAGCTACCAATGAGCTTCAGAATGTTTACTCACTGTGTACTCAATTCTTTAAAAAAAACCCAAGGTCTTATATAGCCCAAGCTGGCCTTGAACTCTATGTAGCTGAGGATGACCTTGAACTGCTGACCCTCCTGCTTCTATTTCCTGACTCCTGAGGATTAAGGTGTGTGCCATCATGTCTGGTTTATGTATGCTCTATTCTTCATCCCATCCTCACCTTCATGCCTATGATATGTATTTTATGCAAAGATGAAAGCAAAAGTGCAGAGCCCATGCTTAGCATATATGGAGCCCTGGGTTCTAGTCCATGATTAGCATATATGAAGCCCTGGGTTCTAGCCCATGCTTAGCATATATGAAGCCCTGAGTTCTAGTCCATGATTAGCATATGTGAAGCCCTGGGTTCTAGTCCATGCTTAGCATATGTGAAGCCCTGGGTTCTAGCTCATGATTAGCACATATAAAGCCCTGGGTTCTAGCTCATGATTAACATATATGAAGCCCCAGGTTCTAGCTCATGATTAACATATATGAAGCCCCAGGTTCTAGCTCATAATTAGCATATATGAAGCCCTGGGTTCTAGCCCATGCTTAGCATATACGAAGCCCCGGGTCCAGCTCATGATTAACATATATGAAGCCCCAGGTTCTAGCCCATGATTAGCATATATATGGAGCCCTGGGTTCTAGTCCATGATTAGCATATGTGAAGCCCTGGGTTCTAGTCCATGCTTAGCATATATGAAACCCTGGGTTCTAGCCCTTACTTAGCATATGTGAAGCCCTTGGTTCTAGCCCATGATTAGCATATATGAAGCCCCGGGTTCTAGCTCATGATTAACATATATGAAGCCCCAGGTTCTAGCTCATAATTAGCATATATGGAGCCCTGGGTTCTAGCCCATGATTAGCATATATGAAGCCCCGGGTCTAGCTCATGATTAACATATATGAAGCCCCAGGTTCTAGCTCATGATTAGCATATATGGAGCCCCGGGTTCTAGCCCATGATTAGCATATATGAAGCCCTGGGTTCTAGCCCATAACTAGCATGTATGAAGCTCTGGGTTCTAGCCCATGACTAGCATATATGAAACCCTGGGTTTTTGCCCATGATTAGCATATATGAAGCCTTGGGTTCTAACCCCACTACCAAAACAAATAAAAACAAACTCCCCGAACCAATAAATGAGTATGAGAGCTAGTGTTAGAATGACAGAATCTAGAATCACCAGAGAGACTGGCTTCTGGGCATGACTTTGAGGGATTATCTTGATTAGGTTAACTGATATGGGAAGACCCACCTTAACTGTGAGTGGCACTATTTCCTTGGCAGGGGATCCTGGGCTCTATAAAATCGAGGAAGTGAGTTGAGCATGCGCTCATTCATTCACTGCTCTCTGCTTCTTGATGATGGATGCAATGTGACCAGCTGCTTCAAGTTCTTGCAACTCTGACTTCTCCACCATGCTGGACCACAACCACAAACTGATACATCACTTCTCTCTTAAGCTGTGTATGTCATGGTATTTTATCACAGCAACAGGAATAGAAACTAAAATAACTGCTAAATGAACGAGTGAATAGGGAGGCAGTGTATGGCTCAGTGGCAGAACACTTGCCTGGCATGCATGTGCAAAACCCTGGTTTTCTATCCACAGTACTAACAAGAATAAATAATACAAACACACACAGGGGAGACAGGATGCTATGAGGCACCTCAGCTCAGAGCTTCTTCATTCTGCAAGTATTGGCTTCTGTGAGGCTGCTTTTTGTCCCACTGATCTGACCTCAGAGGAAGAAGACTGCTTTGTCCCACAAAGCTACAGGTTCAGGAGGGGGGCTATTGGGAGGGGAAGTATTGGGAAAAAGCTTATTTGAAGGGCAGTTGCTGACAGGTATGCTGGTTAGTTTTTATCAATTTGATACAAACCTAGAGAATCTTACTGAGGAATTTCCTCCATCAGAATGACCTTTGGGTATATCTGTGGGGGCATTTTTTTTTCTTTTTTTAAGACTTAGTTTTTAATTATGTGTATATGTATGTGTGTTTCTGTGTGGGTATGTGCATGTGAATGCATGTGAGTGCAGGTGCCATAGAGGCCAGAAGGAGTCAGATCCCCAGGAACTGGAGTTATGAGCTGTCTGATGTGGGTGCTGGGAACTGAACCTGGGTCCTTGAGCAAATGCTCTTAACTGCTGAGCCATCTCTCCACTCTCAAGGGGGCATTTTAAAAATTGCTACTTGATGAAGGAGGGCCCAGATCACTGTGGGCAGTGCAACCTCTGGGCAGGTGGGCCTGTGCTGTATAAGAAATGTAATTGAGCAAGCCAGGGGGAGCAAGCCAGTAAGCAGTGTTCCTCCATGGTCTCTGCTTCAAGCTATAAGATGAAATAAACCCTTCCTCCCATAAGCTGCTTTTGGCCATGGTGTTGATTCCAACAATAAAGAAGCAAACTAGAACAGGAAGGGGCTGTAGGGAAGGTACCTGTTGGGAGGGGCAGTGCAGGAAAGGGAACCATTGGGAGGTGGCTGCAGGAAAAGCCCCTGTGCTCAGCTCTCACGGTTGGGCCTAAGGAATGCCTGGGGTTCTGTGGAAGAGAGAAAGCCTTGGGGAATGCTATGAGCTGGCGCTGAGCCTAGGGAAAGCTAGCCACACAGGGAAGGCAGCAAACAGAAGCAGCACTGGCCTGAGAAAGGCAGGGCGCTAAGGAAGGAGGGGAAGGCTTAGGGACCAGCCTGAGGGATGCTGGGGACTTCCTGGGAAGAAGGAGAGGACTCAGGGATCCATGGGCCAGACCTGGAGCCTACAAACACATGAGGAAGACAGCAGAGGTCCATGGAAAAGGATTGCCCTCATTTCATGCCCCACCTAGGACCTGTTAATTTGTTGATGGCCCATGAATTGAAAAAAACAAAGAAAAAAAAAAACAAACTTCAGTCTTGGTGATCAAACCCAAGGGCTTCTTGGTGCCAGGCAGGCACTCGACCAGTGAGCCTCACTCACAACCTTGAATGAAGTGTTGAAGTGATAAGGAAATTGGTAAGGATGGCTCCATAGCATTCCAGCATCTGGAGACCCTTCTGAGTAGGGCCCTATGCAGCTGTAAGGTCAGGGTTCAAAAGCTACCCTGCTCCAACCATCCCTCCACAGGTTCTAGCCAGGAAATAGTGAACAAATGTGTTTCTCCCTCGGGAATCCACAGTTTGAAGTACAGCTCCATAAACAGTTTCCAAAAGAAGGCCCAGGAGCTGTGGTGAGAAGGTAGGGGACACACGGCACAGACTTACATCGGCCTCACAGCCCACAGGGGACTACATAGGGGCGGGGAAATGCAGGGCACAGACCCTATCCGGCCTCATAGCCCACAGGGACTGCATAGAGGTGGGGGACATGTAGGCACAGACCACATACAGTCTCATACTCCCCAGTCTTCGAGGGACTGAGCAAACTAGAGCTGTGGTATGGCCTCTTCACTTGAAAATGTTCTCTCTCTCTCCCTCCCTCCCTCTCTTCCCCGCCCCTGCCTCCCTAGGGAGGTTGAGCTCTGAAACTCATAGTGGGGTCTGTGTGAAGCTGAGGCAATGAGGGTTCAGTCAAAGGCCCTTCTTTCTAACAGGCTCCAGTGGACCAGCATCCTCTGGAATTAAAGTGGTGGATTCATACCAAAGCCATTAGCATGAGTAGGTTCTGTAACTAGAGTGATTATAAACAGTACAATCTAATCTGGTTCAAGTACCAAGTAATAAGCCCCAGGTCACATTCTTTCTGAATTCTGGAATGCAGAGCAGGGCACAGAAGACACCACATGCCAAGCCCAGTGCTTCTCATACAGCAGTTACTTGGGGGAACTCATGATCCCCAAGGCGGCTGCAGCTCAGAGATGCAAAGCAACTTACTCAAAGTTACACAGCTAGGAAGTAGTTGCTGAGCCAAGATTCTAGTCTAGGCCTGTCTAACTTGAGGTTTCTCATCTGGGCGCTGCTGGCATTTGGGGATGTGTCACTCTCTGGAGGTGGGAGGCTTGTCTGTAGAGGAGCATCCTAGCATCTATGCA